CTGTGGATAAGGACAGAGGCAGTATGAGTGGTGAGGGAGGAACGGAGACGGTTAATGTTGCGAAGGTGGAAGTATGTAGACCTGGTAATTTTGTTTATGTGAGACTGAAAGGAGAGGGAGGAGTCAAGGATGACACCCAGACTCTTGACCTGAGGGGAGGGGGAGACCAAGGAGTTGTCAATGGGTAGTGAGATTTTGGATAGGGTGGATTTAGTGGCAACGAGGAGGAGTTCAGTTTTATCACCGTTTAGTTTAAGGAAGTTTGAGGTGAACCAGTCTTTAATTTCAAGTACGCAGTTAGTAAGGGACAAGGGGGGAGTGAGGAAGTGGGTTTACTGGATAAATAAAGCTGGGTTTCATCCGCATAACAGTGAAAATGAATGTTGAATTTCCGAAAAATACTGCCAAGGGGAAGGAGGTGGGTGATGAAGAGGGGCCAAGAACTGAGCCTTGAGGAACACCAGAAGTGACAGGGGAAGGGTGTGATGTTAAGGATTTGAGTTGAATAAACTGAGTTGAATAAACTGAGTGCAGTCGGAGAGATATGAGCGGAACCTGTCAAGAGGGGTGTGAGAGATGCCAAGAATGGATAATCTATTGAGGAGAATGGGGTGAGAAATGGTATCAAAGGCAGCACTGAGATCGAGAAGGATGAGGATGGAGAGGAGTCCAGAGTCAGCAGCTATAAGAAGATCATTTGTGATTTTTATTAGGGCAGTTTCAGTACTATGAGAGGGGCGAAAACCAGACTGAAAAGGCTCGTAAAGGCTGTTGAGGGTAAGAAAGGTGTGGAGTTGAGCAGACACTATTTTTTCAAGTATTTTAGAGATAAAGGGAAGATTAGAAAGGGGATGAAAATTATTAAAGTTAGTGGGATCAGAACCAGGTTTTTTCAGAATGCAGTTTTGAAAAGTGAGGGAACAATACCAGAAGAGAGTGAGGAATGAATAATGGAAGTAATGAAGGGGAGGAGGGAGGTAAGACAGGTTTTGACCAGAGCTGTAGGGAGGGGGTCAAGAGAACAGGTAGAAGACTTGGATTTGCGAATGAGGTCAGAAATTTTAGAAGAAGTGGGCAATAGGAAGGAGGAGAATGACTGGCTACACAGGAGGAGGGGAAGGGGGAGGCAAGACGGTCATATGTAATTTCTGGTGAATGGAGCAGATTTTTTCATTAAAGAAGGTTATCAAAGAATTACAAGTCTGACTAGAATATATGTAAGAAGGCAGGGTATCAGGGGGGTCAAAGATCTTGTGCATTATAGAAAAGAGAGACTTGGAGTTTCCGTCATTGGAGCAGATAAGGTCAGAATAGTAGTTTGATTGAGTAATGGCTATTAAGTTTGAATAGTGAAGTAGATGAGTTTTATGCATTTCTTTGTGTA